AGCTCAGCTCTGTTTATGAAAACATGGAGAGATGTGTTAAAGGGGAGGGAGACCAGTGAATCTCCCTGCCTGAGCCCAATTCCAATGTCGGAGATACTTTCACCACTCTTTATTTTGCACTTCATATTTAACATTCTACACCTTACCAGTCTAATTAATTTGTAAGGAATCCCCATCTCAGCCATTCCTTTGCATAGCTCGTTCGTTTCGTATTCGCCTAAGAGAGTGGCAAAATATGTAACTCCTGGAAGGCCCATACGCACGCCCATGGCTTTTCTTTAATTGCGAGGGGCGCACACTTAGGCGAGCGTTAGGTTCGTTGGACATCAGTTCTAAGTTACTCGGTAATTGCAGTATGTTGCTCAAATTTTGTCTGTTTATGTTTTTGATGGTATTGAATTTGAACTCAAGTCATTAAGTCGATCAAATGCATGCATCTAAAGCAAAATAATAATTCCTTGGTAATATTTTTCCTATTTAAAAGTTAAGTAAGCACATATGAAATATTACTGTTGTGCCCTTAAATATTGTAATCTTCAAGTAAACAATCTAGTGCGGGCTAGACACATCTTTCACTTATCACTCTACAAGAATATAAATTATTTTCTGATTATATTGGGCTATTATAAAATTTTTGAAGTGCATTTTTAAACGAGCTAAAGCTTAAAGCTTACAGTTAACAAATCATTAGAGCCATTAAAATAACAAAAATTCTCTTTATTATATCGACGGTAGATTATGGATTATACGACTATTAATTAATAAACTTTTTTTTTTTCATTGCAATGTTTACTAAAATGGGAATTATAGGATTTGCATTACCTGTCATAGATAGGACAAAAGTTTAATTTAAGTAACTAAATATTGCTCGATAGTAAACGAGACAAAATTTACTTAAAACGAAAGTAGAGTTTGTCATTGCTAACACTATTTAAAGAAGGCTATCGAGTGGACGAAGATAGCCAAGTTCCGTTTAAAGAAAAGTCATAAATAATTTGTGATTTTTTTTAATCTCCTTTAACTGTACTACATAACATACAACTTCTCTAATCCTCCTTCACCTAAACCCAAACAAATTTCCTGGAGAGATCTAGATTCCTTAACCACTGAAAACATCAGCCCCTTCCTCGGTTCTCTTTCCACTTGCTTAGAACCCATCTATTCTCTCCCCTCCATCGATGATATGGTTGAATGCCTTTCCTCCAACCTCCTCGATTTTTTCAATTGTCACGCACCTCCAAAAACACGTGTCTTTAGACGTCCTCCCGCTCCTTGGATCAATACAGAAATAAGAGAACTAATGAGGAGAAGAGAAACTGCTAGAAGACGAAACAGACGTACTAGACTAACTCAGCATTATTCCACATTTAAATCCCTACGAAATCTCACACAAATGCCAATACGTCGCGCCAAAGCCCAATACTTCAATAATGTTTTATCTCAGGAACCTAACCCTAAATTCAAATGGAAAATCCTTAAGAACCTCTCTGTTGTTACCTCGAAAACCTGCACACAGTATCCAATCGATCCCAACACGCTAAATTCTTTTTTCACTAACCATTTTCTATCCACATCACCATCTGACCGCTCATCTTTTTCCATTACCGAAACCCCCTTTGATCCTGATAAGTTTTACTTTCTCGACATCTCTCCTACTGACCTGCTCTCTGCCACCCTTAAATCCAAAACGAATGATTATGGTCTTGACCTAATACCTGTTAAAGTTATCAAACTCTGCCTTCCAGCTTTACTACCAGCACTTCTACACATATATAATTTCTCTCTCCAAAATTCCATTTTTCCCAAATCCTGGAAAAGAGCCATAGTCCGTCCACTGAACAAAGTTCCAACTCCTTCATCAGCTTCCGACTTCAGACCCATCTCCATCCTATCCAATCTATCCAAGCCTCTAGAAAGATTAGTTCACTCTCAGTTGAACAACTTTCTCGAGCAAAACCATCTCCTCAATCCCTTACAATCTGGTTTCCGATCCCAGTATTCCACCCAGTCTGCCTTGCTGAGGATTACCCAAGACCTCCAATCCGCCATAGATAAACAGAAAATCTCCATCCTAATTCTTTTTGACTTTTCCAAGGCGTTTGATTCCGTTAATCATGAGATCCTTCTTTCCAAACTCCAAAGCCTGCCCATGTCAAAAAGCGTCCTAAAATGGTTCCTATCCTTCTTAGCCAATCGATCTCAGATAGTTACAATACCGAATAAACCTCCATCATCATCACTTCAATTAACGCGAGGTGTTCCTCAGGGTTCCTCACTCTCCCCGACCCTTTTCTCCATCTATATTAATGACCTTCCTAACGCCATTCAACACTCCAATTACCACCTATATGCCGATGATTTCCAAATATACCAATCATTCCAACCTTCTGAGATGCCTGAGGCTGCCCGGAGGCTACAAGAGGACATCGACTGCATCAACAGATGGGCAGAAATAAATGAATTAAAGCTGAATGCAGATAAAACCAAGGCTATTATCATCGCGTCCAGACATCTCATCAGCTCCCTTCCTTACTTTCTTCTACTTTACCTCAATAACCATCCCATCTATTTTTGCCCTACAGTCAAAAACCTAGGAGTAACCTTTGACCAGAACCTCTCCTGGGATAATCATATCTCCCAGATTACCCGAAAATCCATAACTGCCCTTAAACAACTCCTAAGATTCCGTGATTGTATTCCTCTAAAAACCAGACAGCTCCTTGTAACCTCCCTTGTATTCTCCCACTTCGACCACGGCTGCTTGGTGTATGGAGGGCTATCTGCCAGGCTGGAAATGAGACTAAAAAGACTCATGAATTGTTTCATAAGATACATTTTCGGGATCCCCAGACGTTCACATGTTTCACTATGGTACACAGAGTTGAAGTGGCTTTATCCTACTTCCCGATGACAATTCCTTCTTGGCGTTTTCCTTTTCAAAGTCTTCAGAACTAAAAACCCTCTCTACATCCTGGAATTCCTTAATCTGCGCTCCTCTATCCACTCTCTCAATACTAGGTCTCAATCTACAGACTTATATATTCCCTCCCATAAAACTTCGTCCTTCAGCAAATCCTTCGTCATTCGTGCTGCTTCCTTACGGAACTCACTTTCTACTCCCCTGCGTCAATCCTCATCCACAAATTCCTTCAAACAACTCCTGTTCCAACACCTACTCCACATTCAAACTTCCCCTAATATGTAAAATTACTCGCATCTATACAATGTTTAATTTCAATCCATTGCACAATTGAAATAACAATTAACAATAAATTAGTTGGTATTTTTATTATGTCAGACTAAGATACATAAATTTGTAACTCTGTTATTATTCTTAGGTTGTTATTATTCTGTTATTAAATTATTTTTTCATTTCATTTTCATTTCATTTCATTACATTTACACCACTTTAAAAAAAACTTCCTAGTTTAATAAGCATTAATTCCATATTACTCAAGTTGAGATTCATTAGGAAATATTTTGAGATTTACCTCAAGTTGCGTAAAGAAATGATATGGTTTCCTATCTAGTCACCTTAAAGCACCCATGTTTTCAGCAAAAATTACTAAAATTAACTGTTGCAAAGCTTTTATTTCTTATTTTTCCGTGATATGGGATGTATTGTAATAAACATAATTGCCTAAAAGCACGTTGTATTTATAAATATAAAAAAATTTAAAATAATTATTTTTTAATATAGTTTCACGTAAAACGAATCCCAAATTTACCGCTCCTTTGCTCCCTCTGAGTGGCATGATGCGTTTTTGCCAAAATACAAGAAGACCTAAATCGGATTTGTGCCTGGGCAAATGAAAATGGATTAAGGTTAAACGCTGCTAAAACCTAAGCCATTGTCATTGGTTCCAAACCCCTTCTCAGATCAAATACCAACATTCCTCTCCTGTACCTAAATGACCAACCCATCACCTTCAACTCTTCAGTTAAAAACTTAAGTGTTTTCATAGATTAATTCATAAATCTCTCCTGTAATCACCATATTTCCCACATATTCCGACGTTCAATTTCCATCCTGAAACTCTTCCATCGCTTCAGCCATCTCCTACCCATTTCCACACGTAGGCTCCTAGTATCTGTCCTCATCCCACTGAGCATTTATGAGATAACCTCGGAAGACGAATAAGAGCACGTGCAACACTTCCTGATACACTGCAGGGCCTTTGGATCACATTTTGATTATTAAAGGTAAAATAGATTATAAAATTCCATTAATACTAAGTATTATCTACAAATACCATGTATTATATACAAATACAACTTTACAGAAATATTTTTAGATGAAAACATGGAAAAATCAAGTGGGTGGAATTGTTTGCCTGTCAGTGTGTATATATATATGTCTGTGTAATTCCGCCATAGCCTGATTCCAAGTCCAGGGTGAGAAAAGAGGAGGGTTAGGAGAGGGCCGACTACCCGTCCCTGTAAAAAGACTCAAGTTACTTCAGCTCAAAAACCAAGCCTCGGCAATAGGACTCCAACGACTCGGAATTCGGATAAAGGTATATCGATTTGGAACATGGAATGTTCGGACCCTATTTAGACCAGGCGCTCTCTCAGAATTGAAGGAACAGCTAATAAGGCATAAAATCGATATCACCGCAATACAGGAGATGAGATGGACTGGTATTTTGGGATGGAAAATTTTGGGATAAATCGCAGCAGTCAAAGAGAAAAAGACAAAGCTAAAGGTGCTTATTGATAGATGGTTGTTCCTGGGACACTCAGTGGGTCGGGAAGGATCTTTCTAATTTGCCTCCGCTATGTTGGTTGCGGTTCGGACTATACGATTTATAAAATACAAATATGTTTTCAATATAAGTATTTTATAAACATATAAAATATGTTTAAAGTTATCATGTTAGTATGAAATTGTTTTATAATTTTTAATTAACCTTTGCTAATAATAGCGATATTTTTATTTTATTGACTTTAGAGTTTGACTCTTACTGTAGCTCTTTGCTGATTTATATCTTTGGAATACTGTTGAAGTCCAGAGAATTCAAAATAAACATATTCTTATTGTTTACAATTGGTATGTTAATATATTAAAGATATTCATATATTTTGACCTGATAATAAAACGTTTAATAGTTAGTTTTTTACTTTTTTTTTTAGAGACACAGTTTCTTTTTTTGCAACCTTCCAATAAAAGTCTACCTGCAATATTATTTTACTAATCTACGCTAGAAATAATCTGTCAGAGTTTTTTTAGTCAAGTAAATTAAGGTAACGTTTTTATTATTTATTAATTTATAGAATTATTTATAAAATTCTTACACCATTGAACAATTGATTGTGTTTTGCTTGTGCCATTGTAGTCATGATTTCCAATTTACTTAGTATATAAGAGCAGAATTCAGTATTTGTAGTAAGTTCTCACACTGTTAATTTAAGTTGTTACACTGTTAAGTTTATACATTTAAGATGATTATATATATATTAATATATACTAAAAATGTCAATATTGTTGGTTTATTTAATATATCTCCCAGACGATTAATATTTTCACAAAATTTGTTGGTGACTACTAATATGGATTGTGTAGCAGAAGCCTTTTACAAACCATGCTGTGGATTGTTAAATTATGTATTATAATACAATGGAGCAGGCTATCTTAGGAGTATGGCACTGGTGCTTCTATACTCCTCGTCCTAGTTATGGTTGTTGATAATTATTTATTCTATAACATCAGCCTTGACTCTGAGGTTAGGAGACCCTCCTGAGGCACACCTAATGTCTATAAAGTGGTCATTCTCAACTAATGAAGGGGTGAAACATGACAGTTGAGTATGATCTCAGTCATATCACCTCCTTGCCTAAGGAGTAGTTGGAACTAATTCTTTACAAAGTGATAAATCAAAGACCCTGATGGATTTTAGTGATGCTGATTTTTAATTTTACTGTATGTATAGCCTAGTATAGTAAATTAAATTTAGTGTAGTGACATATTATATTTTTGTACCTCTTTTTCATTCTCCCACTTATAAAACATAATAAATTAGGAAAAATATCATTCATATATGATTTCCGTGATGTAATTTTATTTTTTTGGGCTTTTAGCCAGAAATCTTTGTACCAATAGTTTGGTTCTTGTTTTCTGTAACTGTAGCAATTACAAAGCTATGTTTATGGATAATATTTGAAATATTTGATACTTGAACTTAAGAATAGGTTTATACTTTTTGACTCATTGTTATTCTTACGTATTTAAAGGTGACCAAACCATCTGGTAAAGCGCCTACCTCAACTGTACAAGAACCCTTTAGGTGTTTGTCCAATCCTTTTGAGTAAGCAGATGTTGATAGTAGCAATTTAAATTAAAACCCCAAGTTTAACTTCTAAGGAGCACTTGCTTGTTTTCAAAAATTGTATATCGCAATATAAATAAAGGGATGTTATACCGTGAACACATCGATACTTGAACATTCTCAGAATCTCATCTATAGCATGATATGAGATCTTGGCCCAATCGTCAAAGTGGAGCAACACTTGTGCAGTAGTACCATTCTTTTATTTAATATAATTTAAGTTGTTTTAAAAAGAAATTGAGAAGTCCTAGACCCATGACAAGAACGTCTATCTGGCATTCTTGGACCTGAAGGCGACATTCGATTCAGTGCCCCGGAAAGAAATTTAGGAGTCCTTAAGTGCAAAGAACATTCCTCATAAGCTCCCAAATGCTATAAAATCAACGTACCAGGAGCCAATGGTATGTCTAATTCTGTGGCCAAGGGTGTTGTGTGTCTAAATCAGGAGTATCCAAAGTTTTTGGCCCACAGGCCTTATTGAGACTTCGACTAAGTTCCAAGAGTCACATTGAGACCTCCGAAGTCCCGTGGGCCATGATGTGTGATGAAAAAAGAGATCTTGTTTTATAAATTCACTTTATACAATCATTTTGATCCATCAATCTTGCTGGAATTGTTAATTTTTTTTTAAAGGCCATATTTATTTATATATTAATAACTTATACTGTATGCGATGAACTGATATTATTATTATACTCATATTTTTTCAGTCATTAAAATGCAGCGCAGTATTGGTAAGCGAATCCGTATGGATGAACCACCTCCTCCAGAGTATGATACAACTAACCCGATGACACCAATGGATGATATGACACCAATGGACAGCAATGACACTCAGGAACCGTATGGACATTTCAATAATTACAGTCATCAACAATCTACACCTGTTCACCATTCCAGGTAATATAAACATTTTATTTCATTTACATTTTATATATACAAACCAAAATCTAATTTGTAAAATTTAAAAAAAAAAACTTTTCTGTCCAATTTAAACTTTCTTCCTATTTATAAGATTAATGACTTTTTATTTGTATATATTTAATTTAGGAATTTTAATTTCAATAAGTTAAAAAAAAAATGTTTTTGCCTGAATAACCATAAGTTTGAGAATTTTTTTTCTCAATAAAAAGTTCTTTTGTAACTCAAAGAAAAAAGAACATGAAAAGGATCAATCAAGGAATCGTTCATAAGAATGGATTCGTTACAATGATTGAATCGTTGAGGATCGATCCAGTTAAAAGAATCGAATTTCCTATCTCTAGTATGTACAAATGATTCTAATAGTTCGAGAGCTCCTGAAAAAAATATGGTCATTATTTGATGAAAACTTGAAAGCATTTTTTAAAATATATATAACATTAATATTGAAAAAATGAGAGTCTACCAGTCAGATCTTGCTACCTATAAAAATGGTGGCTGATTTAAAAAATATTAGGCCAGTAATTTGAGGATCAAAACAGGAAATTCATTTAGAAAAATGTGGAAAAAGTTTGGTGCTTTTTGTCTAGCGGGCCGGACTGAAACCTCACTTCTTATCTATCTTATCTAACGTCACGTCACATAACCTCCCTCTTCTTATCCCGCCAAACCTTTGAGTTATTGCATTGTTTAGTTTTCAGTTATTACGTTCACTTATTAAATTCTTTACTTTTGGCCCGTTTGTGTTTATTTTTCATTATTATTAGTTTTTGGTCTGTTTGTGTTTATTTTGCATTTATTTTTAGTTTATTTTCTATCGTCATATTATGGATCTTCTAAGAATATGGGATTTGCCACCTTCAGATGAACAGGCAATTAATATTTTCAAAATGTTGGGGTACTTGCTGACGTGAAATTGTGTGAACGAGTTCATCGAATGAAGTTAACTAGAAAGGCTAAATGGAGATGCTTTCGTAGGACTTATGACACATAACTTTCAATAAGGAAAGGAACATGGTTGGAGGGCTCGAGGATTTTGTTTTTAACAGCTTTAAAATTTATTTATGGGTGGTCCCATAGCTTGACAACGATGAAGTCGGGTAAAGAGCAGCTGAAACTATCCTACGGAGCTATGGTAACGTGGAACAAATGTCTAAGAGAGGTTTGTGCCCATGACATGTTATACAGGCCAAAAAAAAAAAATTAGAGGACCTGGCAAAGTGGTTGAAGTAGAGGAAAGTCTTTTTTCTAAACAAAAAAATCATGTGGGGAGAGTTTTACCTGAGCAGTGAATGTTTGGTGGAGTTTGCCGAGAAACAGATGAATGTTTTATCTTTTTATAAAACAGATTTTATTTTTTATATTTTTTCTTTTCTATGTAAATATGTTCTTTTAAATGTGTTTTATTATTATTTCATTTTGATGTTTTATATGTACATATCTTCTTAAAGTGTTTTTTTATTATTTCATTAATATATGTCTTCAAATAAAAGTTTTTTTTTGTTATTACATTAGTTTTTCTATCTGTTTACTCTTTCAATAATACCAATTTAATACAATAATACGAAGATATGAAGTAGGAGAAGGCTTATCACTGCATTATGGGAGTTATCAGTGTTCAGGTTATAAACATTGGCAGATAGCAGTCAATAGCGGCCTCCTAGACAAAAAGTACCAAAAGTTTTTATTTTTTTAACTTGTAAATATTGCTATAGACATGTAAAAAAAAATGCTGATGTAGGCCACCAAGGGAAAACTTTTTATAGCCTAAAAAGTCAGATTTTTTCGATCTTTTTTTCACCTATAACTCCTAAACGGTGTGTCGAAGCTGGAAATGTGCTCTCTTAAAAATTAAAGAACATTTATTTGTACATTGAAAGAGTACCTAAACTTAATTATTTGGTTAGGTGGTATGGTCGGTAACCAAGGTCAACAAACTCTTTTTTTTACCAAATTCATCAAAAACTGAGACAAATTACTAAAAATGGTCCTGCAACTTGGAAATGAGCTCTATAAGAGAAAAAATCTGGTGTGGTGCGCCATCACACAACTTTCACTTAGCACTCTCTTCTTAGGAGAAATAAGTATTTTCACACAAAGGGGAAGTGAAACTAAAAATTATAAATGCTGTATTGATTTATATTTCATTGTGGATATTTTTATTTGTTTAAGTACTCTTATATATACAAATTTTAATATTTATATTGCTATAATCTATACAATTAAACATTAAATAATACCAATGAAAACATTTAGGAAAACTGCATATGTATATGTACATAATATTGTCGGAGTCCGTATTATATTAAGCTCATGTTACGTATGGAAGCCTGTTGTAATCTTTCGTGTGGGCTCGGGCACGCTCGTATTCCTTAGGTACCTCCATTACAACTATTATTCGTTATTGTCTCTTATTTCTCGTCTAGTTAATTATCAAATTTTTTCATATTTTATATTTAATTATTTTTTATATTAGAGATCAATGTGAAATGATTAATTGTTTCAAATAAAATAAAATAAAGGTACTTTGGTGGAAGCTAATATTGTAAATTAGCCATTTAAGCCCTGTTAGAGAACATCAATAACAATAAAACCAACATAATATTAAAAATTACTTAGTTTCACCCTGATATAATGAATTTAATTAAAATCGTTTGAGCTGTTTTCAAGAAAATAATAAAAATGTGTTTCATCAATGATATAAAGTGCCACTTTTGGTTAGCTGATTTTGAAAAAAAAGTTGCTGTAACACCTCAGGTATATACAAACCTTAAATTTGCAATTTCACTTTCATTCAACTTTTTGTTTTTCAGCTAGATCTGTCAGATACACACAGACCATTTTGCGGGACTTGGTTATTTGGACTCCGGAGACCTCAAAACATGTATTTCCATTAAAAACTCAGATTCGAAAATTTTAACGATCGCAATACTGTCCCTTATTATATATTTCGTGTACAGATAAGTGAAAGTAACAACTCATCGAATAAAAGTTTTAGAGCATCAAATCTTGCATCCACTGAGTACTAACGGTTTTAATGTAGGTCACTCACTCCGCTTGAAATCGGCAGTGAATAGGGATGGTTGGAAATTGGTAATTGAGATATTTGTGAATTTAAATACTTCGACAGTATGGGTGTCTATTTTACTGAGCTATTCTTGTTAAGAGTAGAGATTGACCGATACCAATATTAATATCGGCCTTTTGGCCGATTATCGGTATCGGCCGATGTCAAAGGCTGGTGTGCCGATGTATTGCTTTTTTTTTCTCATCCTCTCCCCAGATTTTCAGCAGATAGGGAAATCCAAAAACAGATATATCGGCCTTATGACCTTATTTCATTGATATTGGTAGAGTTTGACAAATTTTTATTTATTTATTTTTTTGTCCTCCCCTTACTCTAATATGAGCTGATTACGATATTCCTAAGACCGATATAAAGGCCTTACGCCCTTATTTTAGCAAGATTAATAGAGTTTGTTTTCTTCTTTTTTATTTATTTTTTTATTATTATTTTTTTTTTTTTGTACACTACCAAATTTTCTGGTCATATCCTAGAACCGATATATCGATCTCTTTCATATTGAATATAGTTTTTATTTCTAATAAATATGTCAATCATTCATCACAGGATCAACATAAACATAAATTTGAGCAAAGATCAATACATCGGCCTTATGACCTTATTTTATTGAGATTGACAATTTTTTTTTTTTTTTCTGCTCCACCCTTTACCTAGATTTACTCCTTACCGATATTCCAAAGACCGATGTATCACCCTCACGACCTTATATTATCATGATGATGTAGAGATGGTTGACCGTTGATATAATATGAGAAGGAGTTGATTGGGGGTTGCGGTCAAATTAATAATAAATTAAACAAGTAGAATTATTTAATTTTTGCCGAAGCTTCGACCCATTTTGCAGGTCTTCATCAGGGCTACAAAAGATACAGAACATGGTGAATGTAGAATAAATGAATATAAGTAGATATAAAATAAGAATAAGTTGTCAGATACATATTTTTATTGCTAATAAATGAGTCAATCAATCTTCAAAGGCATGTCAATCAATATATCGTCCTTATGACCTTATTTCATCATGATTGGTGCATGTGTGTGAACAGTCTAGCTCAAAAACGAAAAGTCGTATGTCAGTGAAATTGCATATTTAAGGGTTATATATACCTAGGATGTTGTGGTACTTTTTCTGAAATTATTTATTTCTGCTAAGAGGGTGGTAAGTGAAAGTTGTGTGATGTGTGCACCCCACCATTTTTTTTTTCTGTCATCTTGAACCGAAATATCGACCTTACAACCTTATTTTATCAAGATTCAAAGAATTTCACTTTGAATATTGTTTTTTTTAGGAAATACATTTGTCAATAAATGGCAATGTTTCAGTTTAAACTTAAATTTGAGCAAAAACCGATATATCGGCCTAATGATCTTATTGTATTGAGATTGGTTGAGTTCGACAATTTTTTTATTTTTTATTTTTTTCTGGTCCTCTTCTTATCTTGATTTGAGCCGATACAGATATTCCAAAGATCGATAAATCGGCCTCCCGACCTTCTATAATCAAGATAAGTTTTTTTTTGTGTGTGTACCTCGTCCAAATTTGTTTGCCATCACCTTGAACCGATATTTTGGTCTTTACTCACATTATGGCGAGATTGATAGGCCCATTTATTATCAATATAAATAATATCACAAATGAAAATCTATGAATCATGATGAAATAATGTCGTAAGGCCGATACATCAGTCCAATGGGGAAACCAAAAAATCTGGAAGAAGTGTGGTACAAAAAAAATAATTAGTTTATAATCCACCAACCCTGATAAAATATAGCTGTGAGGCTGATATATATCAGTCTTCACTCACATTTATGTTTATATCGATTCCATGGTGATTGATTGGCCCATTTATTATCAATATAAATAATATAATATATCGGTATATCGTCAAACTAAATA